CATTTTGCATTTTGTTTGGCGGTCATTCTTTCCTCATTGGCACTGCGACAGAGGCCTCTCAGCTGGGTTTGCCGGATTGGGATGTGCGGGGGATAGGAAGGTGGGACTCTAGAAGGTTTGTTTCCTATGTGCGTCCCACTGTTTTGCTCAGTTGATTGTTTTCTCCTTCTTGGGTGCAGTGCCCCCCTTTTCCCCCCTCCCCCCACCAGGGTCTGGTCAATTGAGCACTCGTCTGTGGAGTTTCGGTGGTTCAGTGCCAGGGGATCATCCCCCTGGGGGATAATGACCTGGAGGCGGTGCTGCTCGGAGACTTGGAGGACATAGGGAAGCGGGACTTGTCCCAGATCCTTATATCATTTCCGGGGGTTTTGCACAGTGTGGTCGGACGTTGCGGTGAGGAACTAGTGACGGCAGGCACACAGCCAGAGTGTGCTGGAGCGCTGCCGTGAAGGGTTTAACCATCGGGTTTCACAGTTCGTCGTAGGGGTTGGGAGGATACCCATTCTTCACAGGGTTTTTTGAGAAGGAGGCGGCAGATTTGTTTTGGCCGGATGGGGTTCAGTTGACTGAGGTTGGGCTTGACTGTTTTAATCTCGCCATTCGAGAAATGGTGGAACAGGCCATGGTTTCTAATTTTCTTTGTCTGTTAACTCACTGAGGGTTATTTTATATATATATGTGTGTGCTGTATATGTGTGGGAGTGTGCTGTGTGTGTCTGGGTGCTGTGTCGGTCTGGGGGTGCTGTGTGTGTCTGGGGTTGCAGTGTGTGTCTGGGGGTGCAGTGTGAGTTTGGGTGCTGTGCGTGTCTGGGGGTGCTGTGTCGGTCTGGGGGGTGCTGTGTCGGTCTGGGTGCAGTGTTGGTCTGGGGGTGCTGTGTGTGTCTGGGGGGTGCTGTGTGTGTCTGGATGCTGTGTGTGTCTGGGTGCTGTGTGTGTCTGGGGGGTGCTGTGTGTGTGAGTGAATGAATTTTTTATTTAAATTTAAATATTTTTTGTTATTAATAATAATAAAAAAATTATATCCCCTCCCTTCTTACCTTTATCCTGGGAGGGGGTGGTGGAGATCCGTTCTGCCTGGGGGGTGGGGGCCATGCTGCCTTCCCTGGTGGTCCAGTGGTGAGAGTGAACTATAACCTGCGGGTTAGAGTTCACTCTCGCGAGATCTGAGCGTTGCCGTGGTAACCACGGCAACGCTCAGAATCCCGCGAGAGGACCCGGCGGAGCTGCTGGTTAGAGCTCCGCCGGTCCTCTCTCCTGCCTCCCTCCCTCCCCAGCCTGCGGCCGTATCTCCCTGCCTCTGGGCTGGTGAGGGAGATCTTTGATCTCCCCACCGGCCCATGGAGGCACACAGCAGGGCCGGCGCTCGGATAGCGCTGGCCCTGCAGGGGCCTGCCGGGGAGATCCCCTGCCGGCCTCGGCCCCCCCGGTATGCCCGATGGCCAGTCCGGGTCTGCTCGTGCTCTGTCTCCTCTTGCTCTTAGAGATATTTTAGAAGGTCTTGATGGTAAGGTTTGTCTTTTTGCTGATATTAAGATATGTAACAATGTTGATGTTCCAGAAGGGATAAGGCAAATGATTTAGGTAAACTAGAAAAATGGTCAGAGCTTTGGCAACTGACATTTAATGTAGTTAAGTGCAAGATAATGCATCGTGGATGTAAAAACCCAAGGGCAGAGTACAGAATATTTGATAGAGTCCTAACCTCAACATCTGAAGTAAGGGATTTATGGGGTAATTGTTTCAGATGACTTAAAGGTAGGAAAACAATGTAATAGAGCAGCAGGAAATGCTAGCAGAATGCTTGGTTGTATAGGGAGAGGTATTAGCAGTAGAAAGAGGGAAGTGCTCATGCCATTATACAGAACACTGGTGAGACCTCACTTGGAGTATTGTATGCAGTACTGGAGACTGTATCTCCAGAAGGATATTGATACTTTGGAAAGAGTTCAGAGAAGGGCTACTAAACTGGTTCATGGATTGCAGGATAAAACTTACAAGGAAAGGTTAAAGGACCACTATAGTGCCAGGAAAACATACTAAATTCCTGGCACTATAGTGCCCTGAGGGTGCCCCCACCCTCAGGGTCCCACTCCCGCCGGGCTCTGGGGAGAGGAAGGGGTTAAGATCTTACCTTTCTCCAGCACCAGGCGGGGAGCTCTCCTCCTCCTCTCCTCCTCCATAGCGTCGTCATCGGCTGAATGCGCATGCTTTCCTATGGACTCTGGCGTCTTCTCACTGTGATTTCCACAGTGAGAAGCATGCAAACGCCTCTAGCGGCTGTCAAGAGACAGCCACTAGAGGCTGGATTAACCCTATTTTAAACATAACAGTTTCTCTGAAACTGCTATGTTTATTTAAAAAAGGGTTAATCCTAGATGGACCTGGCACCCAGACCACTTCATTAAGCTGAAGTGGTCTGGGTGCCTATAGTGGTCCTTTAAAGGATCTTAACATGTATAGCTTGGAGGAAAGACGAGACAGGGGCGATATGATAAAAACATTTAAATACATAAAGGGAATCAACACAGTAAAGGAGGAGACTATATTTAAAAGAAGAAAAACTACCACAACAAGAGGACATAGTCTTAAATTAGAGGGGCAAAGGTTTAAAACTAATATCAGGAAGTATTACTTTACTGAGAGTGTAGTGGATGCATGGAATAACTTTCCAGCTAAGGTGGTAGAGGTTAACACAGTGAAGGAGTTTAAGCATGCGTGGGATAGGCATAAAGCTATCCTAATTATACGATAAGGCTAGGGACTAATACAAGTTAGTTAAAATTGGCCAGACTAGATGGACCGAATGGTTCTTATCTGCCGTCACATTCTATGTTTCTATGTTTCTTTCCCTTACTAAAATATTAAATCTCTCCCTCTGCTTTGGCATGTTTCCTTCACTCTTCAAGCACGCAACTATCACCCCGATTCTAAAAAAGCCAAACTTTGACCCTAACTCCCAACCCAACTACTAGTTTCTGTTCTACCCTCAAGCTGTGTGTGTCTGCTGTTCTTGGGGGAGAGGTGTTAGCTGACTGGCTCTTCGTGAACAGGCTGACATCTGTGGTTTGGCGGTGGGAAGAAGCTGTTCAGACAGGTGTGCTCAGTCGAGGCACAAGGGACCCGTCACATATAGTTTGTCTCCAAGATCTTCAAGAAAGTTGTGTTGCTAGATTGACTGACTTCCTTGAATCCAACTTTTTGCTCGATCCACTTTAGTCCGGTTTCTGTGTTCGTCACTCTGTTGAAACAGCTCTGACCCAAGTATCCAATGACTTAATTGCTGCTAAATCCAGTAGTCACTACTTTCTTCTAATTCTTCTTTACCTTTCTGCTGCTTTCTACACTGTTGATCATCATCAACTTCGTCTCATCCTCAGTAATCTTGGTCTATGAGATTCTGCTTTTTCCTGGTTCTCCTCCTACCTCTCCCAATGCTCTTTCATTGTTTCTTTCTTTGGCCCTTCCTCTCCTCTGCCATCCCCTTTTCCAATATTATTTCTATGTGAATGACACGCAAATCTATCTGTCCTCTCCTGGTCTCTCGATGTCCCTTCTGACTTGTATCTCTGATATTTTTAGCAGTAGAAAGAGGGAAGTGGATGGCTGCTTATTTTCTTAAATTTAACCTGTACAAAACAGAGCTTCTCATTTTTCCTCCCTCAAGTGTTGCAACTCCAGTGTCTTTCTCCCTCCAAGTCAACGGCATTACCATTAGTTCTGCCTTGCAGGCTCGCTGCCTAGGTGCTCTCTTTTACTACGACCTCTCCTTTGTCCCTATACTCCAGTCACTTGCAAAATCCTGCCGCTTCTATCTCAGAAACATAGCGCACATCTGCCCCTATCTAACGCCAGATGTGGCTAAGATGATGTTTCATGCCGCTATTATCCTTCAACTTGACTACTGCAATCTGTATCTCAGTGGTCTCACGTGCTTGCAGCTTGCCTTGTTACAGTTTATAATGAATGCAGCGACGAGACTCGTCTTTCTGTCCGCCCGCAACTCCGACAGACCTCTCTGTCAGTTCCTGCATTTGTTTCCAGTAAAATATAGGGCCTCAATTTAAAATTCTGGTGCTTGCTTACAAATCTCTACATCCTCACTAGGTGAGGATGTAGAGATCTATCTTTTGTTCATAACTGCACCTCTCTAGGGCTGCCCATTCATATGGAACTCCCTTCTCTGCTCCGTTAGAATCTAACCAAGTCTCCGTTCTTTCAAAAGATCATTCAAAACTAATTTTTTAGGAAAGCATATTAATTAAATTGTTAATAGCTTTTCCTCCACGGACCTTGGTTGGACCTGCTTCCTCTCCTACAGCTGTGTCATCCAACAAACTCACACTTCATTGTTAGCTATTTTAACAATCTACTTTTTCCATACATGAACTACATCCTTCCCTTACCTGTTGTGCCACTTTACCACACTCCCTCTAGAATGTAAGCTCCTTTGAGCAAGGCCCTCAGCACCCTCTGTTCCTGTGCATCCAACTCATATTGGATAAATAATCATAATGTGCACTGAGGAAGAAACATGTGGTAACACATTGGAATAACATGAATCAGAGTCTCATGTAGGTGTTAGGGAAGGACAGGTGGGTGATGGGGCCAATGCACCACTGGGGAATGAGTGAGATGGAGAGTCACAGTAGGGTGTTGCTTACACCAGTAAGGGATGACAGAGACAAAAGAGGGGAGACATATAATGCATTAGGGAAGATAGAGAGAGATATTATTGAAAACAAAATCACTTTCAAAGTACATAAAAGGGGGGGCGTGTCCGGCAGCCGACCAAGATGGACGTGTGAACCCGGAGCTCCTCGTGGCGCCCGCATCCAAGCCGCAAGCAACCCGCTAATCCCGCTCGCTGCACACAACAAATGGGTCGCACAAAGAAGCTTACCGACCCGGGAGGCACCCCGAGGCCCGCGGGTCCCGGAGGGGACCACACAATAAGGTCCTATCTGCATCCCACTACCCGCGCACAATCCCCACAGCCGGAAATGGAGGCCGCAAACCAAGCGCCGGACTCCACTCCATCCACTCCGGCCAGGCACTCACCTGCCTTATCCTATGCATCCGAACCTCAGATGCTGCAGGAGGATGGATGGAGGGATATACTGCCCAACCTCCTAACGAAGACTGACTTCGAGGCCCTCTCAGATCGCCTAGGCCGGGTGGTACGTGAAGAAGTGGCCCAACTCCGTGCTGATATGGCAAACATGGAGGCCCGTATGTCCGTGGCAGAGGCAGAGACAAAAGCCCTCCGGACAGACCTGGAACACACCAACACGGCAGTCACAGGCCAGGAAGCAGACATGGCATACCTCACCACGTGGATAGATGACCTGGACAACCGCGGCCGCAGACTGAACCTACGCGTCCGCGGGGTGAGGGAAGGAGGCCCGTAGGAGAATATTCCAGACATGCTGCAGCAAATATTCACGCAGGTACTGGGGGGTCAGCACATACCCAGACTAGGCCTAGTAAGGGCACACAGAGCTCTGAGACCCCTGCCAGCCCCAGAAGACCAGCCCAGGGACATCATATGCTGCCTAGATAACTACCAGCTAAAGGAGGAAATATTGCGCACGGCCCGCCGTATGGGAACCGTCCGCCTGGAGGGGCAAAATATATCCATTTACCAAGATTTGTCCCGCTATACACTACAAGCAAGAAGAGCCTTACGCCCGGTGACCTAGGCCCTACAACAAGCAGGTATCCCGTACCGCTGGGGCTACCCATTTTCCCTGACAGCTAGACAGGGCCCGGACCAAATAACGCTGAGGAAATCAGAAGAAGTCCCAAGCTTTCTACGCACCCTAGGCCTCCCGCCAATACAAGTACCCGACTGGCTAACAAGGTCGTTCCTCCAGCAACCACCAGGACCGCAGCAACCACGCAGACAGGATCTGAACCCCCAAGGGCCCCAGCACCAGCGCCGCCGTGACTGGAATCAAGGCCAGGCAAGGCGTGAGCGATAAACAGACCATCAAACAGCCTGGGGGGGACCATAGGGCCACAGTGAGAACGCACCGAACTGTGAGTAACAAATACGGGGACATACACAAGAAAACGCAAGATGGACTGGGGTGGGAGAGGGCTACCAGGGGGCCTGAGGGGACTAACGCATAACTCCACACGCACCTATTTACTAGAAGGTGGGGAACTGGACAATTGGGGTGGGGACTGGGAGCGCGGGCCGGGCCAAGGGGCCAGAATGGCTGTAGGCAAACCCACACACAACACCCAAGCCATATAGAACCACATGGCACATTACATGGTCACGAAACTACACGCACACACGAGGTCACACTAGAGGTGGGAGGGAGGGAACGGGGAAGGGAGTGGGGGGAAGGGCATGGGCTACGCAAGCACTGAGTGAGGAAACAGACGACAGTATGCACACAGATTGAAGGGGGAGGGGGAGGCTGGGGAGGGAAGGGGGAGAAAACGGGTACACTGGGACGAAGGAGGCAAAGGAGAGGGGAAGGAAAGGGAGGGAACGGGGAAGGGAGTGGGGGGAAGGGCATGGGCTACGCAAGCACTGAGTGAGGAAACAGACGACAGTATGCACACAGATTGAAGGGGGAGGGGGGAGGCAGGGGGGGAAAGGGGGAGAAAACGGGTACACAGGGATGAAGGAGGCAAAGGGGAGGGGGGGAAGGAAAGGGGGAGGGAGGGAAAGAAACACGACAGCCAAAACGCCCACCCGGGGGCGATCCAAGACAACTAGTTTTGGGAAGGTGAGGGGGGAATGGAGAACCGCAGGCAACTTGAGCAGATGAGGGGAGATACAACAAAATACCAAACTAACAAGAGGATGTCATCTATGCATGCCTATTAGCGCTATGTTTAATGTATAAGGTGTTACACGCACACTACACCAGCCACGCGCATACAGCGCCTAAGCGCACACAGCCGCGGCGCCAGCAGTACCCCATGACTAACGCTCGCTCTAGCTAGATAGACGAACCTACTACAAGATATGACACAGAGATACACTAAGTCATCATAAAGATATTAACCGCCACATTACGCTCCCAGGCCTCAAAATACCAGTATTAGAGACGCTACACAGAGAACGCTATAGTGCCCCTAGAACAGACCCACGGGATAGCCACCCCGAGACCCAACCAGACCGAGGAGAACAACCAACTCACCAAGGCACACGACCGACCCCCAAACAACATCGCAAAGCTCACGAAATATGGGCCCCCCCAGCAGAACCGCGCCCGCGAATAGGCTGACGGGACGATCACCACATCAGAGCGCCATAAGGCTGCTCAGCAATAACACCACCACGCACAAAATACACTAAACGACCCACCCACGCACCGCGAGAATGAGCGGATGCACCGATCACATAGCCACTACAGAGACGGGACACCACACCATACTCCAAAACACATATACAGACCAGGCAGGGCGAGCACCGACACACAGCCCGACCCCCCCTTAGGACCAGGACACACGGCACCCTTCAAGGAAGGGGATACACACACCCCAGAGACGACTCGGTCCCTCCGATAGGCCGGACAAGCAGTCGTACCGACGGGTTAATTGTCCATTACCCTTAGCGGACACTGACCTCCAAAGGCAGTGTATACACACACAGAGCAGAAACAAAATCCACACGCAAACACAACTACACGACACATTCCATTCAAACACATACGAGCCCAACACCACCCACCACCCTCAGCTACACCCACTAGTCCCCCCTGGCCGCCCACGGATGCCGGCCCCGGGGCCAAACGGATTCGCGCGTGAGGACCTGAACATCGTCTCGTACAACGTGCACGGACTGAACACCAGGGAGAAACGGACGAGACTACTACGAGACCTAAAACACTACAAGGCGTCGGTAGCCTTCCTGCAAGAAACCCACTTCCAAGAGGGTAGAGCACCAGCCCTGAAAGACCGAAACTTCCAAGTAGGATACTTCAGTAACAACCCCGTAAAGCGCACGCGAGGAGTAGGCATTCTTTTCTCCAGACTTCTCCCCTACGCGGAGAAAGCCACCATCAGGTGCGAACAAGGTAGATACATTTTCACCAAAGGCACAATCCTGGACCAAACATACACATTCGCCAACGTGTATGCCCCGAACACAAAACAACACCAATTCCTTGGACGCGCACTGAACACCTTGATGAAATTCACAGAAGGCACCCTAATAATAGGTGGAGATCTGAATCTGGCACTACACCCGGACCAAGATTCCACTTCCCCGCAAGGCGCAACCCCACACAACAGACACGCGAATACACTGCGCCTCCTCCACCACCACCAATTGGCGGACTGCTGGCGGGCTTTGCACCCAACGGACCGCGACTACACCTTCTACTCAAGGACCCACGCAACATACACAAGGCTCGACTACTTCCTCACACCACATCAAAACTTGACCCTGCTCACCACCGCAGAGATCCTACCGATGACATGGTCGGACCATTGCCCGATCCGCATACGGATGAAGTCGCCGCTGTTTAGACCCAAACAAATGTCGTGGCGGCTGAACGAATCGCTCCTATCTGACACGACAGTGGTAGATAAAATCAGCGACTCCATACGAACATACTTCGAGGAAAACGAAACCGACGACGTGACGCCACTGACATGTTGGGAGGCGCACAAAACTGTGATCCGAGGCCAGATTATCGCAATCAGCGCATCCCGCAAGAAGACAGCGATACAAGCGATCCTCGACCTCAGCCGCGACATAGCAGCCCTGGAGGCTAGACATAAACGCACCCTGGACGCGACAACGTATGGGGACCTGGTAACCAAAAGAGGTCAACTCACCACACATCTCAATCGCTCAATACAACGCTCATACCAACACTACAAACACCAGAAGAAATAGCGTACGCCATCAAAAGAGCGAAAACAGGCAGAGCACCAGGACCGGACGGCCTTCCCCTCCAGTATTACAAAACATTAACACACGTTACGACACCGAAACTCCTGGCGGCACTTAATTCCATCCAAGATGGGGCCACACCGACGGCCCAATTCACCTCAGCCAACATCACCCTACTCCCGAAGGAAGGGAAGGACCCAACACTGTGCCCCAGCTACCGCCCGATATCTGTGTTAAACACGGACCTCAAGCTCCTCGCAAGCATCCTCGCGACCAGACTGGCGCCACTGCTCCCCGCGTCAATCCACCCAGACCAAACAGGATTCATCCCAGGCAGGGAAGTGAGGGACAACACCATCCGGGCCCTGAACATCATAGCCCACGCCAAAACGCAAAAGACACCGGTACTACTCCTGTCAACAGACGCGGAAAAAGCGTTCGACAGAGTAGACTGGGACACGATGTTTGAAACACTGCGACAATTCGGCATAGGGGCGAGATACCTCAACTGGGTGACGGCGCTCTACACGAACCCGACAGCGCGGATCAGGATCAACGGTGCACTATCAGACCCGTTCCACATCCTCAACGGAACCAGGCAAGGATGCCCGCTCTCACCCTTACTATTTGCAATGACGCTAGAGCCCTTCCTCAATAAGATCCGACAGAACGCAGACATACAAGGAATCAGGATCGGAAACATGCACCACAAAATCCTGGCATACGCGGACGACCTATTGTTTGTGGTCACGAACCCTGAGACCTCCCTCCAGGCCATACAGACAGAATTCGAAGTATACGGCCAACTTTCAAACCTCCAAATCAACCACTCGAAGTCGGAGATCCTAAACCTAACAGTCAACCACGCGCTGAGAACAACGATCCAGAGACAACATCCATACCACTGGTGCGACCACAGAATGCGATACCTGGGGGTCTGGCTCACGCCCAACCCAGCGGACCTATATGCGCAAAACTACCTCCCAATACTAAAAAAGGCGACGGAGGAACTACACAACTGGAACTCCTACTACATATCATGGCTAGGAAGGGTAAACGCGGTCAAAATGACGCTTCTCCCCAAACTATTGTTCATATTTCAAACAGTTCCAATAACAGCCCCACCATCATTTTTCACGGCACTGAAAACGGAAGTCCGCAAATTCATATGGAAGGGCAAGTCCCCCCGAGTAGCACATGCCCAACTAATCCTGCCCAAACTCCGTGGGGGACTGGCACTACCGGACTTCGAAAAGTACTATCAAGCGGCACACCTCACGAGAATCATCAGTTGGACGGTGGCCAGCGGCACGAAATTGTGGACCCAACTGGAATCAGACATGACCAACTGCGACCTCAGGACGCTACCCTGGATCCCAAAAGCAACATACAAACACAAACACATCAACAACCCATTCGTGGCGGCCACCATGCAAGTCTGGCACAGACAGGGCGCGAAACAATATCTGACGACAGACCCCGGCCCACTTCTCCCCTTGAGAGGCAACCCAGACTTCCCGGCAGGGGACATGGGCCCAACCCCGC